TCTGCCTTTTCCTTCATCATCAATTACAATATTATATTTATACATTGTCATCCTGAACTTTTTTTTTTCTTAAATCCTTCGGTTTTCTTTAAATCCACACTTTAGTGCCACAAACTCTGCCTGTCCGGCTCCCGCTCTGGCTCCCGCTCTGATGAACTGCTCTGATTGGTCAGAGCGCGGCCGAGCCCCTCTGTGCAGTGTTGTGCCAGTTCACAGCTTTTCTGAACTAGTTCAAGTTAAGTTCATACATGCTCAAAGTGAACAGTTCACGTTCAAAGTTCACATTTTTAATTATGAACTAGTTCAAAGTTCAGTTAATTTAACTTTTTTGTGAGATACTTAAATACATATTTTTTTCACACTACAAGCTATATATATATATATATATATATATATATATATATATATATATATATATATATATATATATATATATTATATATATATATATATATATATATATATATATATATATATATATATATATATATATATATCCTGTACACCCACAGGAGGAGAGTCTTTTGACTACAACACAGACAAGATTTACATGGTTTTCAATGGGAGCCAAACGGAGTTGCTCCATCTCTGCTCATAAACTACAGACAGTAATGTGCTGCAGTGCGTGTGTCTATACTTTATGTCAAATGTAAACGGTGTAAACTTTGTCGCTAACTCACCCTGTGTTTTCATCACGACTCGGGCACATGTGAAAAGCACCAGCTCACAGCGCCGCACCGCAACACGGAGTCGGGGTGCGTTCACAGACGGTGGAAACCGTAGGAATTTTTAGATTTAGGCGGAAAAAGTGCGAGAATGCAGGAGGGAGGAACTTTCTCTTGTTGCGTTTCAAAAGAGAACACAGATTCCAACGTTCATAGTGATGTCTGCCGTTCATGACACATAATATGAACTAATTCACGTTCAAGTTCTTTTTTTGAAAATGTGTTGCGTTCGGTTCAACGTTCACAAAACAATGAGCGTGTTCAATGAACGCGTTCTTTTGAACTCGTTCACGCCAGTGGGGGAGGGTCCCAGCTCAAAAGTGGCCAAAATGACGTGCGCTGACATGCTTGCAATACCACCCCGGGCCATTGGGGGTGGACCCAGAAGTAGAATTAGCCAATGCTAACATATAGCGTTAGCAGACCTCTCAAAAACGTCTTTACAAGATGGACCAAAAGTTGGCTCTTGGCCCAAAGCTCCGTTCCACATGTGTGTCAATGCTGAGGGGGGTGATTTTTTTTGGTCCACTCTAGTTTATTTGCTGTGAATTTTTGAAGTCTCTCGTTCAAATGAATGGAGCTGGGCCGGCTGACGCATGCACAGATGCGTTTTTTCACAATTTTCTTGTGGGCGGGACCACTCACGGCCATTTTGGATTGCTCCATGAAAGCACTTTTCATGGCCAACTCCTATGAACGGCGGAGATAGGCGTGACTCTGTCCATTAATATATACAGTCTATGGTTCACGGACAACACTGCCTCTGTGCACGTGCGTGAGACCCATGTGAGACCCACACATGCGTATTTGGCGCAATGCATCATGGTAGATAGCGCAACGCATCATGGGATATCATCCACTGCGAAGAACCGGGAGGACCAGACGATGCCCAAATACAGGCGAGTTTCCTATGGATTTTTGTGAGTTTCAGACGACTTTTCGGCACCCATGCAGGCACAAAGTGCCACTGAGCACAACCATTCATTTGAATACGGCGCCATCTTGGATTGCCGGGGCTTGGGAACAAATCAATCACTTCCATTGAAAATGTGATGTTAAAACAGGTATAATAGATTAAGGCAAGGCAAGTTTATTTGTATAGCACAATTCATACACAAGGCAACTCAAAGTGCTGAAAAAGATAGCATTAAATTGTGTGTGTGTGTGTGTGCACTTGTTTTCAACTCCTGGTGGGTTCCATAACCTGAGATTCCACTCACGTCATGAGGACTGGTTTTACGTGGTGGGGCCCGAACACCGGACCCCACTGGTCCAAGCTTAATAATCAATGGGTAATGCTTTTCTAACGGTCCTTATGCAGTCTCTGTAAAAATATGGAAAGGACCCCTGGAGGTTTACTTTCCTGAAAAAAGTGTGTTATGTGTCGGAACCCTGGTGGTGGGTTGCGGGATATCAAGGAGGGGCACACTGGGGCAATCATGGAGCAGCACAACAGAGGAAATCAGATGTCAGGCTAGAAAAAGGTGCAAGTGTGTGGTTCATTAGGCTGCAGCCAATCACAGAGCAGCACACTGAAGCGCACGCTTACAAACCACTGGTAAGTGCTGACTACAAGTCATGACTTCAAATTGTTATATAGAATGATTACAAATTATTTGTTGTTTGTGCAGCTTAGTCAAGAGTCCCTAATTGATGAAGTCGACTCAGATTCTGACGATTTAACTGTCAAGAAGAAACCTGTAAAAAAGTATGGAAAAAGAAAAATCAAAAACACTTTTCTTCAAGACTCGGAAAGTGACGAACCAAAGGCAAATAAGATTGTTATCATGCAGCTGCAAAGGAAGAAAAATGGGGGCAGAGTTTACAGCAAGAGACACTTCTGCCTCTACTGTTCAATGTCCTGCCACAAAATGTCCCGTCATTTGACTAGAAAACATGGAAATGAAAGTGACGTAGCCAGAGCATTGGCTCTACCTGTGAAATCTAAAGCACGTAAACTTCAGTTTGATTTGATCAGGAATAGTGGAAACCGTGAGCACAATGTTGAGGTTTTAAAGGCCGGCATTGGAACTTTAGTCCCAGCTAAACAGCCAAATTCCCCAGTTAAATCCAGTGAGTTTTTGCACTGTATAGACTGTGGGGCATTGCTTAAGCGAAAGTCGCTGTGGAGGCATGTGGCCAGGTGCCGGCTTTCACAGAAAGATGCCCAGGCTAAACCAGGTAGAAGTAGGGTCCAGTCCCTCTGCTCCCTAGCCCAGCCTGTACCGGAGGGCATCAGCAAAAAGCTATGGTCTTTAATTTCGGCAATGCATCAGGATGAGGTTACGGGTGTTGTCAAAGCAGAAAAGGGGATTCTGAGACTCGGAGAGCACCTGTACTTAAAACACGGGCATGATAAGACTAAGCATGATTACATTAGACAGAAAATGAGAGAAGTCGGTAGGTTAATTAAGGAAGCAAAAACCGCAGGGAAACTGAAAACAATTAAGGATTTCTTTATTCCTTCCAACTTTAACCATGTGATTGATGCAGTCAGGTCTGTGGCTGGATATGATGAGGAAACAAATCAATACAAGACTCCATCCTTGGCCCTCAAACTCGGCCATAGCCTCAGAAAGCTAGCAGATATTCTTGAATGTGACTCAAAAATGGAGCATTGTGTTGATGAACTATTTATTAAAAACCTCCAACGAAGCCGGCTGCTTTTTGAGAAGAGGTGGGACGTCTGTGTTTCTTCTGCTGCCCTACAGACCCTCCGGCAAGCCAAGTGGAACACTCCGGACCTGCTCCCTCTGACTGAGGACGTTAGAGCCATGCATGCACATATTGAGGTATGTCGACCTGAATATGTGCAAACCCTAATAAGTGAGCCACCGTCTAAGCATTGGTCTAAACTGGCAGTTTTGACTCTTTGTGAGGTCATTATTTTCAATCGAAGAAGGGAAGGTGAGGTTTCAAAGATGCCACTGACAGCCTTTACCTTAAGAAGTAAGACTGGGATCCATTCTGACATTGCTCTGGGACTGTCCCAACTTGAGAAAAAGCTGTGTCAGCATTTTCAACGCATTGAAATTAAAGGGAAAAGAAGTCGGAAAGTGCCGGTTCTTTTGACTCCTGAAATGATTGCTTCGATGGAGGTGCTGGTGGAGAACAGAAGGGCCTGTTCCATCTCTGACCATAACCCATACTTCTTCTCCCGCCCGGGCGCAGACACCCACATCAGGGGATCAGACTCCCTACGCCAGGTAGCCAAAGAATGTGGTGCGGTGCATCCAGAGATGCTATCCTCAACCAAACTTAGAAAGCACATAGCTACTATGTCTACAGTTCTCAATATGAAAGAGAATGAGATGGACATACTTGCCAACTTCCTCGGCCATGACATTCGCATCCATAGACAATATTACAAACTACCAGAGGGGACACTGGAGCTGGCCAAAATCAGCAAAGTGTTGATGGCCATGGAGCAGGGAAGAGTGACGGAATTCGAAGGAAAGAGCCTCGACCAGATACAAATTGAGCCTGAAGGTAATTCTTGATATTATTAAAATATGTATCATTTTTTTCCCCTAAAGGCCACTTCTATTTTTATTTTCTGTGCGACAGGGAGAGCAGTAGAGATCCTCTCACAAACGGACGGGCTAAAAGAAACTTCAAGCGGAGAACCTTCAACCATTCATCCAGATGCACCCCATGGTAGTGGCAGTGCCCCTTCTGGTAAGTGTACCAGGTGGGGGATTACAGCCAGGCTGCTTGGTCCTAACCCTGGGAGTGTATATTGCTAATATATTTTTATTTCTCTCCCTAGAACGTGTAAGAAAGCCATGGTCTGCATCTGAGGTGAAGGCTGTGGAGAACACCATGACGCCTTTCATACAGACTGGAAAAGTCCCTGGGAAGTCTCACTGCCTGGCCTGGCCTGGCCTGGCCTGGCCTGGCCTGCATTAATGCCTCACCAGATGACCTTAGACATCGGACATGGAGTGGCATTAAATTCTATGTCAAAAATAGAATCACTGCAATTCGAAAAAAAAAAAAAAAAAAAAATTCCTTTAAAAGAGTTGTTTGTTTTCTATTGACTGTTTTGTATTACTTAAAGTAGTCCCAGTAAAAAAAGATGTCTATGGGTCCCATTCTGAACGGCCCTGTCAAAGGGACCCACCAGGTAACAAAAACGTGTATGTGTGTGTGTGTGGTTGGTTGGTTTGCGGGCTGGCGGGCTGACCTGTTATTTCTCTGCTTTAGCGGAACTGACAGAATGTGCAAGAAACAGAACTATAAACGGAAGTGTTAGGAGGAAGTTGGCGACAGACGATGGCTGTGAGTGAAGGTCTACTGCTGCTGCTGCTGCTGTCCCCTCGGCTCGCCGCTGGTCAGGCCTCTCTCTCTCTCGCTCTATGATTTTAAAAGCTTTATTTTGTTTTGGTGCTGAGTGAGTGTGTGTCCACAGAGGTGGTGAGAGAAGGAGCAGAGGTGACATTACATTGTCCAGGAGACCGACTGCCACAGTCACAGTGCAGCGAGACCAGCTGGGTATTCAGTCATGGTCCAATTGAAGAACTCTTCACACAGGAACAGTCCGGCTCTGGAGTGTCCCCAGCTCCGTCCAGTCGTCTGAGTCTCACTGAGGACTGTGGGCTGAACATTAAACATGCTCTCCCTGAAGATGGTGGAGAATATTACTGTTCTTTGGACTACACTGATTATACTTCTGGCATGTCTCTGTCTGTGGTCAAATGTGAGTATATCAGAGGTCAGAGAGTGTGTCTCATGTGGAGAGAGGGACAAACGTTTGAAGTCATCTTAACTAAGTCCTATTCCATGTAGTTTCTGCATTTGACAGGTGTAACGCCGAGATACATTGAAGAGATGCACTGCCTCAGCTGTTTATGATGTAATGCAAACCTGCACATCCGCGTCTCACGGCAGCCGAAGTATACCAAGATGGCGGACCGTGAATTTCTTTAAAAGTTAAAATACGAACGAATTAAGACACAAATGTCACTTTTAATGCAATTTGAAGCGAGATGTTTATGGTTCCGTTTTGTCACATGGGTTTTAAGAGTCAAAGTTTTGTGCAAAGTTTAGTTTAAGCAGTCAACTGCGCCTGTGAAACCACAAAGCTAATGTTATTATAGCAGTCCGCGTCAGCAGCCGCGGAGGCTGCTATGAAAACATTAGCTTTGTGGTTTCACAGGCGCAGTTGACTGCTTAAACTAAACTTTGCACAAAACTTTGACTCTTAAAACCCACATGTGACAAAACGGAATCATCAACATCTCGCCTCAAATTGCATTAAAAGTGACATTCGTGTCTTAATTCGTTTGTATTTTAACATTTAAAGCAATTCACGGTCCGCCATCTTGGTTTGCTTCGGCTGCCGTGAGACGCGCATGCGCAGGTTTACATTACATCATAAACAGCTGAGGCAGTGCATCTCTTCAAAGCAGTGTATCTCGGCGTTACACCGGTCCTGAAGGCCTCTAGGGCCTCTGTCAGGGGAGTTGTCGTGCTCTGGTCCCTTTGTTCCTGGTCTCTCTCTCTAATTTATCCAGAGACCCAGGACTGAGGCTGTAGATCCAGGACTGAGTCTGTAGATCCAGGACTGAGTCTGTAGATCCAGGACTGAGGCTGTAGATCCAGTACTGACACTGTAGACCCAGGACTGATGGTGCTTTCAGACCGCAAAGGTCAAGGTCAAGTTTATTTATATAGCACATTTTAAAAACAGACAGGACTGTCACAAAGTGCTTACCAGACATTGTAAAAATACAACACACAAATAACATACAGCATAAAAATAAAATGCAGGACACTATCATAAATGTTTCAACATTGCTTGTGTTAAAAAGCCAAAAGCAAAGAAATGTGTCTTTAGCTGTGATTTAAAAGTCTCTACAGAGGAGGCAGCTCTGATGGAATAAGGGAGAGCGTTCCAGAGTTTAGGCCCTGCCACAGCAAAGGCTCGGTCTCCTCTGGTTTTTAATCTAGACCTGGGACAGTGCAGAAGAAGCTGGTCAGAGGACCTCAGTGCTCTTCCCGGAGTGTGCAAAGTAAGCAAGTCAGTCAGATATGACGGAGCCAGGTCATGCAGAGATTTAAATACAAACAATAACATTTTAAACTTTATTCTAAAAGCGACAGGAAGCCAATGTAGAGACGACAGCACAGGAGTGATGTGCTCGTGTCGTCTGGTGCCAGTCAGCATCAGAGCTGCTGCATTCTGTACCAGCTGCAGTCTGTGAACTGAGAACTGGTCAAGGCCATAGTATAAAGAGTTACAATAGTCCAGCCGTGTGGATATGAGGGCGTGGACAACCTTCTCAAGGTCATTTGGTGGAAGATAGCCTTTAACTTTGGTCAACAGTCTCAGCTGGAAGAAGCTGGCTTTGACAACTGAACTTATTTGTTTGTCAATTTTAAAAGCACAATCAAAATACACACCAAGGTTTTTTGCAAGTGGGCGGCAGTAGGAAGACAGGCTAGACACACCGTTGGAAACAGACGGATCAGGTTCACCAAACAGTACAATTTCTGTTTTTGTGTCATTCAGGTTTAAAAAATTGATTGACATCCAGTCTTTTACATCGTCGAGACATTTCTGCAGTGCTTGGACGGAATCTGAATTAACATTCAAAGGCAAATAGATTTGAACATCATCAGCAAAGCCTCTACACCTTCTCCACCGACTCCCACTGATGACTGCTGTCGTTGTGTCCTTGGGCAAGACACTTAACCCCACTTTGCCCCAAAGCCCCCACTGAAAGATCAAGGCTATGCTCACACTCAGAGAGCAGCCGTCCTCCTGCAGAGGGTCAGTGAGGGGCTGGTGCTATGAGACTTGGGTGGCCTCTCTGATTGCCACCCCCCTGACCCAGAAATGGATTAAAGGGTAGAAAATGGATGGATGGATGGATCATCAGCAAAGCAGTGAAATGAAATGTTATGCTTTTTGAATATCAAGCCTAAGGGCAACATGTTCAGTGAAAATAAAACTGGTCCTAAAACGGAACCCTGTGGTACACCACTGTCAAGGGAGGCTTTCTTTGAGCTGCAAGAGCCGAGATTTACAGAAAACACCCGATCGGACAGGTACGAGTGGAACCACTTGAGTGCTGTGCCTTTAATTCCAGCACAGGACTCAAGGCGGGAGATAAGAATGTTATGATCGACAGTGTCGAATGCTGCTGTCAGATCTAGAAGCACTAACACAGAGGGGCTTCCGGAGTCAGAGATTAAAAGAAGATCATAAAAAATTTTCAACAGTGCAGTTTCTGTGCTCTGCAAGGATTTAAACCCAGATTGAAATTTTAAAAAAATATTTTCTAAAACCTTTACAGTTTAGAAATAGGCCTAAAATTGGACAAGACAGATGGGTCCAAATTGTGCTTTTTTAGCAAAGGCTGCACAATGGCCTGTTTAAAGGCAGCTGGGACACAGCCCTCTTCAAGTGACTGATTGATCAGGTTTAAAATACAAGGACCAACAGAATCTAAAACATCTTTAAACATTCTCGCAGGCAGTTAAGGACAGTTAGACACTTTAAGCGGTTGAACAGTCTGTAGTAATTCAGACAGAGAGATGGGCTCAAAATCTGCAAAAACAGCTGAACAAAGAGAGACAAGACTGGGATCCACTTCAGCACATGAGGTTGAAGAGCGCAATGAAGACACTTTCTCTTTGAACAATGTACAGAATTGGTCACACAACGAAACAGATGGGGAAACACCAGTGTGTTCAACTGGGTTTAAAATACTGTTTAACACATTAAAGAGAACTTTGGGGTTGTTACAGTTTTTGGTAACAAGGTTGGACATGTAGTTGGTCTTTGCTGATTTTACAGCTCGTTGGTAGTTTCTAAGAGAGTCTTTTAAAATTCCCAGGGACACATGAAGTCGGTCTTTTTTCCATCTTCTCTCTGCGCGGCGACATTCACAGCGAAGAACACGCGTTGTGGCATTGTGCCACGGCTCTTCAGGCTTTGAGCGCATGTGCGTAAAAGGCGCAATAGAGTCAAGAATCTCGGTGCAAGTGGAATCAAGGAGGCTAACCATGTCATTAATTCCCAAGTTGGTTAAGGAAGCGCTCAGAGGCGAGGCCTTAAAAGCTGCGGAAAAAAAGAGGAGCAAAGGCTCAAACGCTGAAGCCTCGCTCACCAGACGCGCATTCTCTAGTTTTCAGACGCAGGGGTCTTCACACCAGAACGTCCTGATCAGCGCCGGAAGTGGCGGAAGTAGCCGGCCGGCTCTGATGCTAGCGGCTTCTCGTGTAAAGATCTTCTCTAATTATGCAGCTTTGCAGCGTGTCTGTGTTCAGAGACCTTCCACACGCTTTATATAACAGTAGTATGTGTTCACGGAGGTGTGCAATAAGTTTATTTTATTATTAAACGGTATTTCCACATCGGCGAACACACGCGAAGCAGTTGCATAAAGTCACGGGAGCATGACAACGTATATATTCACAACCTCAGAGTCCCTCATTGTCAACCCTGGTTTTAGTCCTGATGTAGCTCCTGTTTTGGCTGTTTACAGTATGTTCAGTCTGCTCGCTCAGACCACTAATGTCCCTGTGACCACTTTGCGGCTCTCTGATTGGTCGCTGCAAAAAACATCCCGAGGAAGAGGTTGAGCAAAGTTTGAGCAAAGTTTATCTCCTGTGGGCGTCCATTTTCCGCTCCTGCTCATCCCCTTCGACTTTCCCGCGCAGTCCGTGCGTCTCTACTGAGCAGTGCGTTCGTGCCTCCCGAGACGTTCGTGCGTTTTGACGCTCCAACACGCGTCACCATAGACTTTGCATTGAAAGACAACGCAACACATGACCCGGTCTGAAAGCACCATGAGACTGTGGATCCAGGACTGAGGGTTTGTGTTGTGGGAGACACGTGCAGATGAAAGGCATGTCTTTGTTTTGTTTTTCCAGTAAAAGTGGAAGAGAATCAGCAGTGGATTCAGTTTGAGTGTTGGATCTTCAATATGGACGACTGGATTGACAGGAGACAGGAGAACCAACTCCACAAGTGACCCCCTCTGGAGGAGCCTCAAGCTCTGGTGAGAGCCACAGCCACACACCCACAGCTCCATCTGCTGATCCATACCACTGTCCATTCACTTCAATATATTTGTGTATCGCCCTAATTTGTCTCAGAGGACTTTACAAAGTTGTGGATTCACAAACAACAGATCAGAGAATCAAACCGTTCAAACACTGGAAATGCAATAATAGCAAACAGATGGGAGCCATTGGTTCATAGGGAGCGGGATGAACACTGTCCAGAAATGTGAAGAAATGTCCCAGATCACTGTCTATAGACCCTTCTCCTTCAGAGAGGAACCACTCAGAAACCCAGAACTGAGGCTGTAGATCCAGGACTGAGGCTGTAGATCCAGGACTGAGGCTGTAGATCCAGGACTGAGGCTGTAGATCCAGGACTGAGGCTGTAGATCTAGGACTGAGGCTGTAGACCCAGGACTGAGGCTGTAGACCCAGGACTGAGGCTGTAGACCCAGGACTGAGGCTGTAGACCCAGGACTGAGGCTGTAGATCCAGGACTGAGGCTGTAGATCCAAGACTGAGGCTGTAGATCCAGGACTGAGGCTGTAGATCCAGGACTGAGGCTGTAGATCCAGGAGTGAGGCTGTAGGTCCAGGACTGAGGCTGTAGACCCAGGACTGAGGCTGTAGATCCAGGACTGAGGCTGTAGATCCAGGACTGAGGCTGTAGATCCAGGACTGAGGCTGTAGATCCAGGAGTGAGGCTGTAGATCCAGGACTGAGGCTGTAGATCCAGGAGTGAGGCTGTAGATCTAGGACTGAGGCTGTAGATCCAGGACTGAGGCTGTAGACCCTATCAAACCTATCAAACCTGATGGTTGTAGGTCTGAGCGCTACTGCAGCTGTCAAAAGCAGAGGACACTGCGCTGTCAGGCAGGTTCAGGACTGAGGGCTATGGGAAGACCAGAGAGAGACAGAGAGAGGGACCAGTGGATTGTCAGATCCTGGTTCAGGGACTCAGTGACATAATCATGTGTTGTTGCAGGTCTCATGGTGCGGTATGTTGTGGTCTGTGTTCTGCTGACCGCTCTGCTGCTCAGTGTGACCATCATCGCTGTCCACAAATCCGGTCAGTTTCTCCTCCTGCTCCTCCTCCTTGTTGTAATCTGCACTATGTAGTGCAGTGGGTAGAATGAGGGCAGTAGCCTCAACTCAAAAGGCCCCGCCCCCAACTTCCCGGACCAATGGAAATGTGGGCATTGTTTGTGTCCTACGTTATGTGATGTGTTAAAATACTAGGTTTTGAGTCCGCTTGAGGAAGTAACCCCCAACCCAACCACATCTCACCTGCCCTGATTTACTTCTGTTTAGTTTCAGTAGAAATCACAACTCAACAACTTACTTTTGCAGACTTAAAGGAGCTATACCCGTTTCTGCAAGGTTTGAATGTTTAGCACGGCCCCCCAACTCGCTCAATGGCTTCTCATTTCCCCTACGCTCTCATAACACAGAGCCACCTAGTTTTATTTGAGATCTGATACGTATGCTAACATTAGCATTAGCGCAACTTGTAAAGCCTGGTTCACGCGGCAGGATATTTAGGCCGATTTAGACCCGATTTACCCCTTACGACAATCTTAAGAAACGCTCCGATTTCCGTAACAAAATCTTACAGATTATCCTGCCGTGTGTGGTGTGTTAAGACTGCACTCGTCGCTCGGAAGGACATCGGGACTGCTCCCGATCTCAAATCGGGGATATCCAACATGTTGGATTGTTTTGGCCCGATTTCTCTTCGTGTGTGGTGTCCCCCGAGGACAGACGTGCGCGTTGCCATGACTGCGGCGTGTAGCCAATCAGAAGACGAGACGAGGCGGTGAGGAAACGCCTCCATATCACGATGTAGCAAGTATAGTCCATGCTCGTGTTGTCTACACTTCTTTGACCATCGCCTTTTCTTTTGATTACGTCTTTTCTCCGATAAAAACAAACTATCGCCAATGCATCCTCTTCGTCCGCCATGTGTGTTTACTCTGAAGTCACGCTTGATCTCGCGAGACCTGAGATTTCCGTCTGATCTGTGAATACGGGGGGGGGGGGGGGGGGGGGGGGGGTTCGTGTGTGGTTTGCGTGATTTTTTGCCGTGTGGCTGCGCACCACACACTGTACGACCAAAGTGGTTAGATCCGTGATTTTTTATCTCCCTGTGTGGGGTCTCACACAGAGAAAAATCGGCCGACAATTTTAAAATCGTCCATTAATACATTCGGACCATTTTTTTTCGCGTCCGAATGTATTAATTTAAACATTAGAATATATTCTAATATTTAATTATATTTTTTTATTATACAGCTCCTCAAAGCAGCAGCACTCCATTGACTTGAATGTAATTCTTCCGATCATTTTTTCTTGAAAACAGAACTCTCAAACCAATAATGACCGAAGCCCCAATGCAATCTTTGTTTGTAATTCAGGTGTGTAAAATACTGCCATTACTTTACTATCAGCGCCTGTCACTACATTGTGCAGTTTCTCTGCACACTTGTCTCTGTAGAGAAGCTAGCAGAGCTAGCCACGCTCAATAAACAAATACATATCTATCAATCAACACCATTAAACGTCAATCGGACAATACAGTATACATATACATCCTTAACACACATGCACGGACGATTTCAGAATTTGCTGTCAACGTTTTCATGACAAAATACTGTTTTAAAGTGACAAAAAGCGATCGCGAATAACCCGGAAGTTACCATGAAACAGCTAGCTGAGCTGTTACCTGCCTAACACGTCCCGGTGAAACCTTTGGGAGCTAACTATTTTATTTGCAGTCATTAAATACATTTCGAATTATAAGGGTTGTCTAATATTTGTTCATATATGTATATATTTTTTATTTTAGAATTATATTAGAATTTTGAAGTCGAAGCCCTAGTGTTAAGCAGCGCTGTAGAGTCTAGAGGACGCAGGCTGTTCGCTGCTCGTTCTGTGAGTGGAGGAGAACGTCCCGCTAAGACTCCACTCAGCACTTTTCACTGCTTGAATTTCAGTGGAATCAATGACCTCAAGTTTTCAATTAAATTATGTATTATGATACAACTTGTATGTAGTAAAAAGCATTTTTATGAACTACTGGTCCACCACCTCTTCCCTTTCCTCATTAACCCTTTGGTTCCTGTGTGAAATCTCTCTGGAGCCTCTCCTGATCTGATCTGATGCCAACTGATCAGAAAATCAAACTATCAAAACAATCAAACGTTATTTGATTTATTTTCAGGACGAAGAGTTCAGAACACCGAGATTGTGAGTATTTTAAATGAGTCCATCAGAGCCAAAAACCCCTGAAGGTACAACATTAACCACAGGGGGCGCTGTAGAGTAACTCCTTTCATTGTGTTTTCAGGAGGAGGTTATTTATGAAAACAGTGGAGAATCTTCAGGCTCCGTCAGATTTTTCAGACGCAGGAGAGAGAGACCCTCTCTCTGATTCAGATTCATGTCTTTGCTTTTCTTTTTTGGTCTCGTTTTTGTCGCTTTCTTGTCTCTCTCTTGTATCTCTCTGATCTCTCTCGGGTCTCTCTCCGGTCTCTCTCCGATCTCTCTTCAGTCTCCTTCTTCTCTCTCTCTTGTCTCTCTCTGGTCTCTCTTCGATCGCTCTCTGATCTGTCTCTGGTCCCTCTTCTCTCACTCTTGTCTCTCTTTGGGCTTTCACTCTCTCGTCTCTCTCTGATCTCTCTCTAATCTCTGAGGCTGCAGATCCAGGACTGAGGCTGTAGATCCAGGACTGAGGCTGTAGATCCAGGACTGAGGCTGCAGACCAGGACTGAGGCTGTAGATCCAGGACTGAGGCTGCAGATCCAGGACTGAGGCTGCAGATCCAGGACTGAGGCTGTAGATCCAGGTCTGAGGCTGCAGATCCAGGACTGAGGCTGTAGACCTTATCAAACCTATCAAACCTGACGGTTGTAGGTCTGAGCGCTGCTGCAGCTGTCAAAAGCAGAGGACACTGCGCTGACAGGCAGGTTCAGGACTGAGGGCTATGGGAAGACCATAGCCCTACAGTCCTGTAGATCCAGGACTGAGACTGAGACCGGTCTCTCTCCGGTCTCCCTCTTCTCTCTCTCTTGTCTCTCTCTGGTCTCTCTTTGAGCTCTCTCTGATCTCTCTCTGGTCTCTCTCCGGTGTCTCTCTGGTCTCTCTCCGGTCTCTCCCTGGTCTCTCTCTCTTGTCTCACTCTGGTCTCTCTCTGGTCTCTCTGATCTCTCTCTGGTTCCTCTTCTCTCACTCTTGTCTCTCCGGTGTCTCTCCGGTGTCTCTCCGGTGTCTCTTTGGTCTCTCTCTGGTCTCTCTCTGGTCTCTCGCTGGTCTCTCTCTGATCCCTCTCTGGTCTCTTTCTGATTTCTCACTGATATCTCGTCCTGTCAATATCTCAGAGTTTCCTTGTGTATGTACTGTGCAATACAAATAAACTGGCCTTAACTCAACCCAGAGTTAAAATTCCTCACCAGGCTGCTCTCCATCTGTCTGTCGGTCCCTCTCTGACCCGAGCCGCTGAAAGCCTTCGGTGCTTCCCTCCCGTCGTTTCCAAACTCTATATTTCTGCCTCTCTCTCCTCTCCTCCCTCCCCCTCCTCCCCCTCCTCCCCCTCCTCTGACTTTGCCCTCAGCCGTCTTGGCGTCCCAACTGTCAAAAGATATTTGCGAGTAAACTTTTGAAACGAAGCTCAAGATGAACAATGAGTGCTGTTGGTGCCGTGGTAATGAAATAAGGCCGTGGTGTGTGTGTGTGTGTGTGTGTGTGTGTGTGTGTGTGCGCGTGTGTGTCTGTGTGTGTGTGTGTGTGTGTGTGTAAATATTGGCCAGAGACGGAGAGGAGACTGTCCAAACCAAATGTTCAAGCCAAAAATGGGTCAGCTACTTTCTGCATAAAATGTGATCTCTCTCTGGTCTCTCTCTCTGGTCTCTCTCTCTGATCTCTCTCTGATCTCTCTCTGGCCTCTCTCTGGTCTCTCACTAGTCTCTCTCCCTGTCTCTCTTTGGTCTCTCTCTTTTCTCTCTCTCTGGTCTCTCTTGTCCCTCTCCAGTCTCTCTTTCTTGTCTCTCTTGTCCCTCTCTGGTCTCTCTCTGGTCTCTCTCTTGTCCCTCTCTGGTCTCTCTCTGGTCTCTCTCTTGTCCCTCTCTGGTCTCTCTCTGGTCTCTATCTCCGGTCTCTCTCTTGTCTCTCCTGTAAGTAAGTAATCTTTATTTATATAGCGTCTTTCAGAGACCACAGTCACAAAGTGCTTTGGACGAGCTCATGCCAGACTTACTGTACATGGATTTAGTGGAAGGAGAAACCGGAGCACCTGGAGGAAATGTATGCAGACACTGGAAGAACATGCAAAACTCCAGACAGAAAAACCCTGTCTGGAGGTAGAGTCCAGCATAAACAACAGGTGAATAATGTCTTTGCAGAATTAAGTGATTTGATTCTTCTTACTCTTGTCTGTTATTGACCAGAGGCATCGACGTCATCCAGTCATGTGATCGTGCAAGAGGTTACGGCGGAAGTAGTGGAAGCTAGCATCGCGGCAAAAGCAAAATGGACGACAACTCTTAAAAACTGAGACTCCTAATTCCAGCAACTGACATCTACGGATGTCAATGGCAGAGAATGTTAAAAGTTAGAGAATGTTAAAAGTTAAAAGTGTTTGACTTCAAGCGTTTGTTGTGTCATTGTCCTCCAAATACATTAACCCTTTAGGCGCCAGGACATAAAACACCAACAGAACACACATAGTATCACACTCTATGTTCAGAGAAATAGTAAAACAGTGCAAAAAAAAAAATGTGTGGCAGGGAGTTTGAATGAATTTTGACACGAACAATTTAAACAGGACCACACATTGTCGACTTTAGTCAACCGTGGCGCCTACAGGGTTAATGGAAAGAAAATAAATACAAAATTGTAATTGATTTATCTTGAAGAAAATTGAAAACTGAAAATTTGGGAGTACTTAGATGGCTCCCAGTCCTTTCGGGTTGATTGCCGCCAGCCATTGTCGTCCTCTGTCTTCATCACGAGCAGGTATCAGATAAAAAAAAACACATTTGATTTATGTTCATGCCTTTTAGTACAACCAACCGCACTGCTCCATGTCTAACCCATTTTGGTTTTTATTCAGTGAAATGGGTTGTTTTGGTCAACTCTCCAAAGGCTCGCAGTTGAGTAAACAGCAGTCCTGGGTAAACAACAAGACTTCCGCCGTCTGTCATGGAGAGTGGGCGTGGCCGGGACGTCACATGCACGGGTTCAATAGAAGAAGAACCAAATAAACTCTCTGTTATTACCGATACGTTCACAGGACATTAGAAAAGTCCTCCGGGACCCAACACCACTGTCCGTCAACAACACACTTAAATGTCATCAGCAAAGACTGGAAAAGGTCAGACATCTCTGCGGCGGCTGCTGAACAACTCACACACCTCCTGCACTACTATTTTGGGTTTATGTTTTACAAATATTCAATAAATGTCAGACTTTTTCCAACGCAATAAAAAAAAATCAACAAAGTCAACTGTAAATAATTTGTTCTTTGGTGTGAATAAATGTGACAAAAACATGGAACAAACAAAAACAGAATACATATAGTGGTCAAGAGGAATGGGTCACTGAAGTGCCCTGTGAACTGAATCTGGACCTGAGGAGCACAGGGACTGGTCTCCTGATGGGACCCTGAGGAGCACAGGGACTGGCCTCCTGATGGGACCCTGAGGAGCACAGGGACTGGCCTCCTGATGGGACCCTGAGAAGCACAGGGACTGGCCTCCTGCTGGGACTCTGAGGAGCATAAGGACCGGCCTCCTGATGGGACCCTGAGAAGCACAGGGACTGGCCTCCTGCTGGGACTCTGAGGAGCATAAGGACCGGCCTCCTGATGGGACCCTGAGGAGCACAGGGACTGGCCTCCTGATGGGACCCTGAGGAGCACAGGGACTGGCCTCCTGCTGGGACTCTGAGGAGCATAAGGACCGGCCTCCTGATGGGACCCTGAGGAGCACAGGGACTGGCCTCCTGATGGGACCCTGAGGAGCACAGGGACTGGCCTCCTGATGGGACCCTGAGGAGCACAGGGACTGGCCTCCTGCTGGGACTCTGAGGAGCACAAGGACCGGCCTCCTGCTGGGACTCTGAGGAGCACAGGGACTGGCCTCCTGATGGGACCCTGAGGAGCACAGGGACTGGCCTCCTGCTGGGACTCTGAGGAGCACAGGGACTGGCCTCCTGCTGGGACTCTGAGGAGCACAGGGACTGGCCTCCTGCTGGGACTCTGAGGAGCACAGGGACTGGCCTCCTGATGGGACCCTGAGGAGCACAGGGACTGGCCTCCTGCTGTAGGAGAGAGTGTATTTTAAATCTATTCTTGTTGGAAAATGTCTTACCACACATAAACGTACAGCATCCCAAGGTCAGAAATTCACACGTTTTTAAGCATAAAAATAGTTTAATTTAAAACAGTTTTGCACCCACTTTACCAAATTCTCATCGCTTTGTGCTAACTTCTATTTGTGGGGCAGTTTTCCTGAAATCTATCATTAAAAGGTCGGTCACAGTTATTTACAAAGTGATTCAGCGATAGATTTGAAATAAAATGGCAGGTTTGGTCGTCGTTATTCACCTCAGAGCTGATCAGCCCTGAATAAAACTTTACAAAGTACCTGCGGTTGATACGGACTTCACAGTTTCTGAGTCCAGTGTGATACTCTTCCGTTTCCCAACTCAGTGACTGTATTCATGTTGGAAAAAACTACTAGCATGCAAAACATTGATGATTGGTGGCTGAGTGGATAGCACTCTCGCTTCTCAGCAAGAAGGTCCTGGGTTTGAATCCCGGTTGGGCTAGGACTTTTCTGAGTCGAGTTTGCATGTTCTGCGTAGGTTTCCTCCGGGTACTCCGGTTTCCCCTACCACTAAAAACATGTAAAATATGGTCTGGCATGTGCCTCCTGTACTGGCCCCGCTCCCAACTCTGTGTGGAGGGAGAGAAAAATGCCTAAAAATAACAATTGTAAACCGCTTTGTGACTCTGGTCTGTAAAAGGCGGTATATAAATAAAAATTACTTACTGATGTGAGGGACATAAAAGAGAAAGGCACAGAGAAACCAACGCCATGTATCACACATAAAGTCATTTGGAAAAAAAATAAAGTTTCCTCTTTCAAACCACTAAAAAATGAATTAAAAGGGACCTGATCTTATTTTGTTTGTATATTGTGGTATATTTTGTGTTAAATAAAACTCATTTTGACAGATAGTTTCACCATTAGCAGTTTCTATCAATAATAATGAATAATAATAATAATAAAAAGACATTCGCGGAAAAATTGCCGAGACCGGAAGTGACGTACACATAGGTGTTATTGGGCTTTGTTGATGCATTTGTAAGCCATAACGTTGTATACGGACATTTTAAACAGATATTTGTCATTCAGTGATGGACAATACAAGTCAAGGGCTTTTATTTATGAGCCCTTGTCACTTGTTATGACAGTAATTATGATTTTGAGGACTCTGACTCGGTTCAGATGAGACGCAGTCTGCAAGAAATGGACATTTGCGGACATTAGGGCCGTTTCCACGGGCTGGAGTATGGATCTATGGTCCGACCGGGTCCGACCCGTCTCGACCCGGTTTGCGGATGCGGTGAGTTTGAGCTTGATGGTGCACCCGAGTGAGTGTAAATAGCTAAGTGTTAGCGAAGGTAGCGCTAGGGACGAAGGAGTACATCAGGGACATGCAGAGAGAAGTTTAGAAGCGTAAAAGTGACTACCGTGAAATGAAAGATCCCAGCCGTAAAAGTGACAGAACTGAAAAGTCTGGAGGTGGTTTGACAACATGGATTAACGCTATTTTTACGGACATCAGCTGACACGCAAACATCAGCTATCAAGCTAACACCAGCTAACACGTCAATACCCGCAACTCAGAAGCCTCAACTCTGTGTCCCAGCTCCAGATGTTGAGTTTGACAGAAATGGTGAGTGTCTTCAATCAAATGCAAACATATATGGTCTTATTCTGACCATGTGTCTGTGGTTCTAAAGTCTTATTCTAACCATGTGTCTGTGGTTCTAAAGTCTTATTCTGACCATGTGTCTGTGGTTCTAAAGTCTTATTCTAACCATGTGTCTGTGGTTCTAAAGTCTTATTCTAACCATGTGTCTGTGGTTCTAAAGTCTTATTCTGAACATGTGTCTGTGGTTCTAAAGTCTTATACTGAACATGTGTCTGTGGTTCTAAAGTCTTATTCTGACCATGTGTCTGTGGTTCTAAAGTCTTATTCTAACCATGTGTCTGTGGTTCTAAAGTCTTATTCTGACCATGTGTCTGTGGTTCTCAAGTCTTATTCTGACCATGTGTCTGTGGTTCTAAAGTCTTATTCTGACCATGTGTCTGTGGTTCTAAAGTCTTATTCTGAACATGTGTCTGTGGTTCTAAAGTCTTATTCTGACCATGTGTCTGTGGTTCTAAAGTCTTATTCTGACCATGTGTCTGTGGTTCTAAAGTCTTATTCTAACCATGTGTCTGTGGTTCTAAAGTCTTATTCTGACCATGTGTCTGTGGTTCTAAAGTCTTATTCTAACCATGTGTCTGTGGTTCTAAAGTCTTATTCTGAACATGTGTCTGTGGTTCTAAAGTCTTATTCTGAACATGTGTCTGTGGTTCTAAAGTCTTATTCTGACCATGTGTCTGTGGTTCTAAAGTCTTATTCTGACCATGTGTCTGTGGTTCTCAAGTCTTATTCTGAACATGTGTCTGTGGTTCTAAAGTCTTATTCTGAACATGTGTCTGTGGTTCTAAAGTCTTATTCTGAACATGTGTCTGTGGTTCTCAAGTCTTATTCTGAACATGTGTCTGTGGTTCTAAAGTCTTATTCTGAACATGTGTCTGTGGTTCTAAAGTCTTATTCTGAACATGTGTCTGTGGTTCTAAAGTCTTATTCTGAACATGTGTCTGTGGTTCTCAAGTCTTATTCTGAACATGTGTCTGTGGTTCTAAAGTCTTATTCTGAACATGTGTCTGTGGTTCTAAAGTCTTATTCTGAACATGTGTCTGTGGTTCTAAAGTCTTATTCTGACCATGTGTCTGTGGTTCTAAAGTCTTATTCTGACCATGTGTCTGTGGTTCTCAAGTCTTATTCTGAACATGTGTCTGTGGTTCTAAAGTCTTATTCTAACCATGTGTCTGTGGTTCTAAAGTCTTATTCTGACCATGTGTCTGTGGTTCTAAAGTCTTATTCTGACCATGTGTCTGTGGTTCTCAAGTCTTATTCTGACCATGTGTCTGTGGTTCTAAAGTCTTATTCTGACCATGTGTCTGTGGTTCTAAAGTCTTATTCTGACCATGTGTCTGTGGTTCTAAAGTCTTATTCTGACCATGTGTCTGTGGTTCTAAAGTCTTATTCTGACCATGTGTCTGTGGTTCTAAAGTCTTATTCTAACCATGTGTCTGTGGTTCTAAAGTCTTATTCTGACCATGTGTCTGTGGTTCTAAAGTCTTATTCTAACCATGTGTCTGTGGTTCTAAAGTCTTATTCTGAACATGTGTCTGTGGTTCTAAAGTCTTATTCTGAACATGTGTCTGTGGTTCTAAAGTCTTATTCTGACCATGTGTCTGTGGTTCTAAAGTCTTATTCTGACCATGTGTCTGTGGTTCTCAAGTCTTATTCTGAACATGTGTCTGTGGTTCTAAAGTCTTATTCTGAACATGTGTCTGTGGTTCTAAAGTCTTATTCTGAACATGTGTCTGTGGTTCTAAAGTCTTATGCTGAACATGTGTCTGTGGTTCTAAAGTCTTATACTGAACATGTGTCTGTGGTTCTAAAGTCTTATACTGAACATGTGTCTGTGGTTCTAAAGTCTTATTCTGAACATGTGTCTGTGGTTCTAAAGTCTTATTCTGAACATGTGTCTGTGGTTCTAAAGTCTTATTCTGAACATGTGTCTGTGGTTCTAAAGTCTTATACTGAACATGTGTCTGTGGTTCTAAAGTCTTATTCTGACCATGTGTCTGTGGTTCTAAAGTCTTATTCTGACCATGTGTCTGTGGTTCTAAAGTCTTATTCTGAACATGTGTCTGTGGTTCTAAAGTCTTATTCTGACCATGTGTCTGTGGTTCTAAAGTCTTATTCTGAACATGTGTCTGTGGTTCTAAAGTCTTATTCTGAACATGTGTCTGTGGTTCTAAAGTCTTATTCTGAACATGTGTCTGTGGTTCTCAAGTCTTATTCTGAACATGTGTCTGTGGTTCTAAAGTCTTATTCTGAACGTGTGTCTGTGGTTCTAAAGTCTTATTCTGAACGTGTGTCTGTGGTTCTAAAGTCTTACACTAAACGTGTGTCTGTGGTTCTAAAGTCTAAAACATGTTGGTCATGTCATATCTATATCTTTTACTAAACGTCGTTAGAGTGAAACATGGATTCATGGTTCAATGACAGTTGTTGTGTTTTCTGCTGAAAACTGGGTTGAAACTCGTAAAATTGGTTTTAGTTGGAGCTTGATAGAACTAATTTCATGGAACAGGCGCTGGTGTCTTCTCTCAGTTTGTTTGGACCTTCTCTGAATAAGTCAAAGATCGTAGGGACTGCTGTTTACACTCTTCTTTTTGTTACTTTCATTGCTGCATCCCGGGGCCATATAAAATACACCCATTTTAAGGTTTATTTGTGTCAAAGCGGCAGCAGGAGCAATGCCATAAACAGTAAAGCGAGAGCTGCGACCCCTCTAAGAACGTCATCATTTTTCTGGCCAATCAGATGTGTTGATATTAAAAGGTTATTTTACTGATTTATTACTTATCTATAACACAAAAACACATTGCAAAGGTGGGAAATACATGCTTTTAATGTGTTTTATCAGAAAAAAATAGTTTTTAATATTGTAAGTGCCCTTTTAAATCAATCCTATTTCAGAGCTCTCTAAGCACTTACACACCCCACCTTAAACTGTCCTGGTTTAAATCCTATTTCAGTCCTGGTTTAGACTGATTTTAGTCCTGGTTCAGTCCTGATCAAGACCTGGTCCAGATCTAGTTCCGACCTGGTTTAGGCTTGGTTCAAACCCAGTGGTTTGGACATGGTTCAGTCCTTGTTCAGGCTTGCTTCAGTCCTGGTTCAGACCTGGTTCAAACCCGGTGGTCCCTGTTGTCATTGGACCTGGTTCAAACCCGGTGGTCCCTGTTGTCATTGGACCTGGTTTAGTCCTGGTTCAGACCTGGTTTGTAACTGTTCCAGTCCTGGTTCAGACTTGGTGGTCGCTGATCATTTTGGCCATAGTCCAGGTCTGTATAGCTTCATAACGACATCAAAAATAATGTTAAAAACGTGTTTATATCTCCCCCATGACACGTTCACACACAAACATATTATAACGGACTATGGGTCACTCAAGGCTCTGTTTGGACCTGTTTTAGTTCAGGTTCTGTCCTAGTTTAAATCTTTTTTACTCCTGGTTTAGTCCTGGTTTAGACCTGGTTCAAACCCACTGATTTGGACCTACTTCATACCTCCTTCAGACCTCCTAAAGTCCTGATTTAGACCTGGTTTACACCTTTTCAAGACCTAGTCCAGACCTTGTTTAGAACTGGTCCAGACCTGATGGTCCCAAAAACATGATTAGGACAATGGTTTATGTTTGAATAGCTTCATAACAACATCAAATCTAACGTTTAGACCGTGTTTCCTTTCGCCCTTTGACTTTTTCATTTGATTGTATTGCAGCTCTTGGTTGTTTACATTGTTTATGGTCTCGGCCTGTGCAGAAACTCCACAACAACACATTCACTTACACACAGATTATACTGGACTATGGGTCACTCAAGGCTCTGAGAGTGTATAATTTGGGCCCATTTAGTCCTGGTTTTAGTCCTGGTTCAGTCGTGGTGTAGACCTAGTTTCGATCTGGTTTAGACCTGGTCCAGACCTAGTTCAGTCCAGCTTTAGAACTATTTCTGTCCCAATTTAGACCTGGTTTACGTCTATTCCACCTAAAACACGGTCACTTTCACACAGGTTATACAGAACTATGGGTCACTCAAGGCTCTGAGATTATCCACAAAATAAATTACAAAACGCTAAAGCAGACACAGGCCTTTGACTCACAGAATCCGTGAGCGTCGGAGCGGCCATAACTCCGGTCCATGTCACCAGATCGTTGGAATATCTGGAGAAATAAAATGAGTGGATGATTTACCTCAGCGTGGATCTAATCGCTATTGATTTAACTCGACTTAATGAAGACGGATGCTGCTCCTCGGAGACTTAAGTACATTGTGTATTGATGACACGTCGGAATTCTCCTCAGATGCATTTTGTCGTCTCTGGCCCGGCTCAGACCTTTTGTTCACTGACAGAACTGGGCTGAGAAGATGGAGAGCTGGCTAGATGTCAATTTGCCCCCTCAAAAACACTCTTTTCATTACATTTCTGTATTCAGGGAGAGGACATGCAGAGACACTTTGAGGTTGGGGACTGAGATGGGCTTGGATTTGGAAAACCAATGTTCAAATCATAGATACACAAAGCCAATAGGAACTAATAGAACGTGCAATATTGAGTTTTCATACCTATTGCCCAAGTTATAATATCTTGTCTATTGCATGTTTGAGTAAAATCTGTTATTGCTGATTCTAACTTTGTATCTAACTGTATTTTAACTGCTTTAAATGAAAGTTTAATCAACCCTCTCCAGGCAGGCGAAAACTTATGTTTTGATCCGTTATACTCAGAAGGACTTTGTCTCGGACAGCCATTTTGTTTTGTAGGCAAACCCTTGTGGGCGGAACTACAATGATAAAACCTCACAGGTGAACCTCGTCAGGAGGAGTCACACCCAAGGGACAGGACTGTTTATTGTGCTTGTGCAAAAATAAATTTGTTTCATCAATATTATTTTAATATGCGTTCTGCCGTCTCATTTTGACTCTCGGGCCAGCTTCCCCACATATGGTGGCAGCGGTGGGATCCAGGCCAGTGAGAGG